AATGTAAAATGTAAATAAAAAAAAAAAAGAAAAAAACCTGTTCGCATTGGTCGTGTCATGTTCTCGATTTAGTAGAAGAAATTTTTCCATGTTTTGTCTTTTTGCCCCCTTTCGTGATCGCACACAAAATGCCTGATGCAGGGATTTTTTTCCTTATCTGCACCCACACTGGGGGCGAACAATGTCGCCATTCTTCGGTCAACAAAATGTCTTTGATCAGCTCCTCCCTCGGTTGCGGCACACGCCCCCTAGTCTAGTTTGATGAAGCGCCTTCAATTAACAACCGTCGAGCGCCACCGGTATACCCGCATTCGGAAATTTTGTTAGGTAACATAAACCCATTCTGAGGAGTTAACAAGAGTCGATTTGCCGTTCATGTTGGCAGATAAGCACGGTACATATTATTCGTAAACACGACAGACCAGGTGTTTGGACTTATCAGCGACTCCCAATCATCCCATTGTCGGCGGTTCACCCCGCGTGATGTCCGGTGGTGGACCCATTTGGATGTTGTCGAAGTACCCAGACGGGAAGTGATAACCACTGTCGATGCAACACATGGACGCTGAGATACTGTGCGGTAAATAATTTTCCCCAGTCCACGAAGTTTATTGCTCATGTCGTAGTCGGACTCCGTAGCAATGCGATGCTACCCCAGAAAGGCGGAGGAATGGGGGAACCCAATCCTTGATCGATCGACCCATCAGCCATGTAAGTCGCGCATGGCACTTGACCAATCATCCCAACTATTGTTGAGTAATATCCTGATTCTAAGTCGGGGTTGAATCCGTATTCCATTCCCTTATCCTGGTTGGGGTAGCTAGCCGTCGACTAGTAGTAGTAGGCATCTAGGGTAGTGGTCACGATACTGGAAGGACGATAGGCGGAGTTCCATCGGGAGTCCGGCCGGGTCAAACCGCCAGGGCCAGTTCATTTCGCTTGGTGTTGGTTTGGCATCGTCTGAGGGTCAAAGACAATGGTCGGTGTTTAGTAAGTAGTGGAAAGCATATCTGTGTCATGGAAACCTGTCAGAGTACAATCAAAACACCATTATTAATATCAATAATATCTCCCTCCATTAAGGAAGATAATAAAAGGAAATGAGGGGAGAAATAAATTGAAAAAGGTCGACAGTGACAACCAAGTCAGCCTCCAACCTAGATCGGAGGATAGCGGCCGATGAGATTAAGTACTTGAGCCCTTGACGCCTTATCGCCCAGGCCGCGCCTTCCGACTTCGCTCTCCCATTTCTCCAAATCACTCCCACCCAATTTGTCACCGGGGCTAACATCTTGGAGTTTAGTGGCCTTACCTGCACAACAACCATTCAGGGACCTCGCTGCTTTGTCCAGGCTCGTCTCCGGCTGAGGGCGTATCCGTTTCCATGCATCCCTATAGTCATCCTGGCTCTGTCGACTGGCAAGAGCGGCGATCTCCTTTAGCCGGAATATTCCCGTGTCTTGTTTGATACAGTCTGACGCGATCGGTCGCAACACTGGAAGTGTATTTCCTGGATTGAGGGGGTGATCCTCCTTTTTATCTTTTCCTGCCGTTAGGTTAAACCAAGAGCTCGCTTCCCCTCATGGGGAATTGAGCGGCGCGCTGGCGAGCTTGTGATGCCGTTAGCCCTATCTGGGCGTTCTTGACTTTCTTGGCTGGAGATAATGACTGGGCGGTAGGAACTTGGCGTTGAATGACGAGCTTGGTAACCTATTGAGACGTTGAAACGAACTGAGTTTCTACCGTGCGGTTAACGCCAAAGGATGCTGGCGCTGATATAGGTTTCGTGTCCATTATGACTGGTCCCATGGTGGCTTATGTCTTCGGATCAACTGTTGACTATACTCCTCTGGGTTGTACAATTTGAGGACCCCCTAGGGTCAAATAATCCTAGCAGACTATAACTACACTGGCTTGATTGGATTGTCGGCATTGGTATACTCTATCTAGGCTTGAGAAACCTGCATATACTACGTGGATATACGGAATAATCGTACCTTGAATGGCTTTCCCATTCCGATGATTACCCATTAGGTTAGCAAAGTACTCTCTTAAAGCGATATGCCTTTATCGAGCTTACAGGAATTCGACGCCTATGTCGAAACTATCCAGTTACAGACAGCCTTTATTAACTCCATTGAGTCATGCTGGGTCCACTACACCACGAATCGGGGTAGAACAGCAGTCTCTTTGACCAGTAGATCAATTAGGTTTAGTAGATGCCGTCCCGGAGTTCTGCTACATGTCCGGTTGTTCTCATATTTGGAAGACAACGGAATGCGAGAGCTGAAAATTGCACCATTGAGTCTCAATCTAATGTCACATTCGCGGACCTGTATGGATTTGGAGTAATACTCTATTATTCGGTTCCCCAATTTTGTTTCAAGTCTGTTGGAGTAGTTTTGTTTACCAACCGGGAGATATGAGTATATATCGGCCGAATAAGACTTCTACCAGCATACTAATCAGCCAACATGCCCCTACTCTTCCAAAAAGAGATATTGATGGGTGACCTATCCATGGACTAAGACATACATCGATCAACATAATAAAGATGGCTCTACTCAATAAATTCTATTTGAATTCTTAAAGTCCAATGATCTATATAACACCCTAATGCCCCTAAGCAGGCCCTCTAGTACCCAAAAACCACTCCCTAAACTTCACCAACGCCTTAAACCGATGCGAAAGTCCATTCTACACCGTCAGCACCCGCCCTTACACTATACCATACATACCATCGGAAACAAGAAAACCTACCTTCTTGCCAACCTCCATCTCCGCCAACGTTACTCCCTCCCCCTCGACCTCAAAAATCGGCTCCCAGCCTACAGGCATCAAGATTAACACTAGCAAACCACTCAATCCAGAAGTAACCCTTACCAAAAGATGAAACGCCTCTGGCCGAAACGATTTGTCCCTTAATCAATCGAAATTAGATGCTGAACACTAGTAATTACATATAACGTTGAATAAAACGTAACATACCTGCAGCCGACCCTGGAATAGAAGAGGCTCATGTCCTGGTCCCGGGGAATACCCGAACGTACATACTGCTTCGGCGGTTTTATCGTCGAAGGCTGAGAGGATCTTGTTAAGGCCTTCGTTGCCTATTGTTTCCACGAATGCTTTGCTTTATTGCATACATGGTTTGGTTAGTTCCTTGTTTCTCTCCTTACAGACACATGCATACAAAAAGCAAAGTATCTACAACCCAAAGTAAAGGCGAGCAGAGACAAGTGGGGAAAAAAGATACATACACATAAGCCCCAGGCAAGCCACCCAATGCGCGCATCTCAAGCGCCGAATCCTCAACCAACACCGGCCCTCCTATCTACATTCCACCGATACCAATTAACACCATCATTCAAAATACCCATTCGGTCCCTTTCCAAACTGAGCCGAGTAATTCAAACATTCAGTAAAACAGTTGGTCTATTATCTTACAGTTTCAGCTGCCACACGACATTTCTCTCGCGTAATTTCTTCCACACTACCCTGGATCTCGGGGAGATTGATATCCAGGACTTCGAGCGTGGCCGTGGGACCCAGAATGGCTTTGACTTCTAGGACTTTGTTTTTGTTCCCTGTCACGAAGATCAGGGGGGTGTCGGATTCGGTCATTTCGGATGTGAGGTCGGGTATTGATTTGAAGGGTCTGTGAGTGGATCACAATTCCAATCTAATCAAGATTGATTGATTGATGGTGGATTCTGGTCATGTGATTCTGTTCTTGGGTTATTATGCCTTTGGGAGATGAGATGAGCTGAGGTTTAGATGGTGATTACTTTGAATTACGCTAGTCTGCTAGGACTGTGTCTAGGAACTTGAAGTTATTTTGGTTGATTAAAATGAGGTAGGTTGAGGAGACGTGGTTGTAGTGATAAGGTGCGTGGATCGCATAAAATAAGGTGTTTTCGACAATGCCGAGTCAATACCGAACACGGTAGTTCCAGTCCGTATTCCGGTTGAGGCTGTGACTCACAGCAGGGTTCTTTGCATCGCGAGATCGGAGTGACAGGCGGATGCCTTAGGCCATCATCGAAAGTTGGTAAAGTTGACTGACCCTGGAAAAGGTGAGACACCACGCATGACTTATACTTTTCCCTTCTGAATGTTTAGGTCGAAAAGGATCGAAATCCAACGTGGTCAACTTTCCCATGAGATTAAGAAGCCGGTACTAACTAACCTGTCAAGGAGCGCGGAAAAAGGGGATGTCCGGTGTTCTGATACTGTCTGATATATGTACCGAGCAAGCATTGACAGAAGAAGGCAAGGTGTAAAGGATATGGCTGGCCATGATTTCAATTAACTTTACTCATTATTTGTATCCTTGGCCGTCCCCTCATAACAAAACAATCTCACTTTTGTGCAAAGCAATATCCTAAAAGAGAAACCTCTTCCAAAATCCAACTTATACACAAAACTATTCCCGAACATACGCCTCTCGCACGCGATCGCCTTTATGACACCAGACTTTCCACTCCCCAATCTCAAATTGGACGGAGACTTTATCCTTCCGACCTGCAGGACCCTCCAGAATAACATTCATTGGTCGGTAGGTAGTGTCAGCTTTCATCCGCTCAATTGCAGAGACGTGGATCTGCGCATATTTCGGAACGTCTCTGCTCCTTCCCCGATGGAGTGGCCACCGAGTGGGTTTCCACGAGCCATCGACCTGTAGCACCATACGCCGGAACGGTATGTGCTCCATCAGACGCCAAAAGCCAGTTCCCTCACCCGTTTCAAGACTATCATGCAGTATGCCTTTTGTGCTCGAAAGGTGAAGGGACGTGTCAAGATCCGCGGAGCTGTCCCGAGCCAGTTTTTCGCTGTTTTTGTCCACAGTATCAACTTTATGTTGCTTCTCGATACTCACGAGCATATCGAGCTTTTCTTTGTCGAAACGAAGCCCAGCGCGCTGAGCTTCATGCACCATCCAAACAAGTGGCCCATGGGACAGCCTCCAAGCTTCACCTTCAGAAAAGTCCCAACCTCCACCCACGTCTGCATGACAACCGGGGAACCACACTTCCTGAATATCTTGCTTACCTGAATCGCCACCCCCCTGGCCACATGTTGTTGAGCCTCTATAACCCCATGGCCATAGGCGTCGATGAACCCTGAACTGGTACTCCTTCTTGGGTTCTATGAGGACCGGGTAAAACTTGACCCTACGTTCGTCGATACTCAATGCATGTCTAATGATCTCAGAATTCGGCTTCACTTCCGCGTTGACCTGAAACTCGGCAGTGCTGTTGACAGTGTCGAATAAACCAAGGAAGTGAACCCGATCTACTTCGCGACAAACCGTTTCTCTGCAGGCCGTCAAGAATTTCAATGTTTTTTTACTTTCCTCCCGTTCAAGTTGGTTTTTGGCCCCGACCGTCAATTTGTAGGACGAAAACGCCTCCCAGATGAAGGGGATCATCTCTTCGTTATCGGCGGACAGCAGCCCAGCGTGGTCCAGCATCTCGTTCAAAAAGCGAGCCGTGTATGCCCCTCGAGAAAAGCCGAAAATATAGATCTGGGATCCGGTGCGGTAGTGTCGCATGAGGAATCTATACCCCCCAAGGACATGCTGGTCGAAGGATACAGCCAAGGCCGAGTCGACAAGCTTGCTGCTGAATAGCTTACTGCGGCGTCGCAAAGGGTTGCTGCTGAGAGAGGTCGGAGATATCTCGGTTCCAACACCAGCTATTCTGCAGTTAGTACATATTTTACAAGGGCCACAGAATGGGGTGTGGTACGCTGATAGTAACAGTCTGCACTCAATGTTAGTACACCCGTACGTCTGCACAGGATAGGGGGTGGGGAACATTCATAAGTTGTCATCATCACGCTTGAGCATGCGGAAAATCTTTAAGATATTACTTTCGGTGCCATCTGCTTGGAAGGTATTGGATGTACCATCGAAACATAGGACGATGACACGCTCCGCCCGTTTTCTATGCTCGGGCAAGGACATGGTCAACGCGTAATAGATTAAAGAGTTTCAGACTAATTATATCTTTAGTAACAAACGGGGCTTTTTTGGGGGTTATACAAGAACACAGTTGGAGTGAGATGGGCCTGTCCCTTATAAGGTTTTCAGGTTCGCCTTCGTGGGCCAATTGACCTCTCTTCCTGGCTCGCGTCAAAGCTCGCGTTCTCCGCCCCTTTCTAGGTGTGATAATGTCGATCATTATTGAGCTGAGGGTTCGATCGACGCCCCACAGTTCGTAGGCTAGCTGAATATCTGCCCAACCAGCGCTTGAAAACTGCTGAGTATGTAGGGACACGAGGGATCTTCCATCTCCACCATGCACATCCCTCCTTTTTTTTCCAAGTCAAGGAGTCCTCATTAGACTTTTCGTATTACTTGATCATCATACATAGTGGTTTGCCAAAGACCAAGCGCCGGATCTGGTTGGTTTGATGAATCCTCGATAGGTTCGAAGAAAGTTGTGACAGCGACGTGCATAGTATAGTATAGAACTTTGTTTGGTACAGTGACATCACGAGCTCTCAAAACATCAACTTCCACATGGATCATACCTTTGAAATTACGCCGTAATATCCGTTCCCATTTACGTTTCGATTGCAGTCAATTACATATTAAAACAGGCGTTATTTAGAAATCAATAGAGTCAAGGCAATATAGTATCATTGTTCATGGAGAGATTATCATGGTAGTATGACATGATTTAAAATTGTATACTCCGTATGGTCCATGCCTTTTGAAACCCACCGGCTGTGCGGCTTTCTTCAACGGATCTACCCGTCCATTGTTATTTTACATACTCCGTACCGTCCACGCCTTCCAACCGATTTGTCATCATCACTGAAGGATAAAACTCCATGCATCGAAGTATTCTTGAACAGCTATTGGTCTCTGAGAAATAATTCGAAACAGATTCAAACACCTCGCAGGGGGTTGAACTCTCCCTGTGTTGTCCAGCCATTAATATACCTACCACCACCTTCTAGTCATAAACCAAAGGGGGTATAAAAGCAGCCATCGATACTCTTATAAGACTGACAATCTTAGCAATTTCCATTGAGTCCAAGTCACCCTCCATTGACGGATCATAGATCTTCGCATCCCTTAGTATCTACCAGATAATATCCGGCTTCTGAGTCTAATAAATCATCCAAAATATCACGTTACGTCCCAATCTATCTTTGATTCGATAACCAGTGCCATTCTAGCTCATTTTTATCCTCTATGCTATGATGTACTATTGCAAAATGCAAAGCAGTACAATTTCCTAACGAAGAAGAAGTCGATACATCCGCACCATTCTCGACTAGGGACCTCACCATAGAAACCCGATTCTTCGATGCAGCTAATGTCAACGGGGTCCAGCTGTAACTGTTCACATCATCGATACAGAGTTCACAATCACTCAAAATCTACTTTACATCGTCCACCTTGCCTGCTTCAACTGCGCGGTGCAAAATCGAAGTACCTGTATTATTTCTGGTGTTGATTTCTGTAATACCTTCGTCTACAAGAGTTTTTGCCACCGATAGGTCACAACCCTACGCGACTTTATGCAAGAGCATTCCATCGCGTTTATCTCCCTGATGCACATTGGACCCATCTCTCAGCAACGATAAAAAGCTCCGGCCATTGTTCTTGTCCGCTGTGTACCAAATCGGCAGCTTTCCTGCCCAAATGGCTGCTCTCGCTCCGGCCCCTTTCTTGATAAGATATTTCACTACAGATTAGGCGTTCGAATTTCGAATTCTCGCCGCATAATGTACAGAGATGATCCGGTGAAGCCCTGAGGCGTTCACACTCAGACCCTCTGAAATCAAGCAGCGTCACATTATCCAAATGGCCTCCCTCAGAAGCCTTGTGAAGAATAGTCTTCTTTTCAAAGCTAGATCTATCTAAGCCTTGCTCTTGGAGCTTCCATTGAGTGAGAATGCAGTAGAGGGCTCGTGAGTTGTTGTATCTAGCTGCAACATGGAGCTCTCTCTCTCAATAAATCTTCTCGGTCAGGAGTGGGCGTTATCTCGGTATAGAAGTTCAATTATCTCTAGACGCCCTTCGATAATCGCATAAAATAATGGGAAACAGTCCTCTCAGAAGGCTCAGTCGCGCCCATCTATAGACTCTCCGCGCTTAAGAGATTGGGCACAGTATTACTTTTAATAGCAGCAAGAAGGGCTTTATCTCTCTGTTCCGGGATCGGGGTCACTTATCATGGTTAACTTACTGCCAGGACTCTGAGGAGTCGGAAGCGCGCACCGAGAAAGAGCGAATAAGTTAGAAGAGAGAGCGTTTATGAACCATAAGACAGATAACTTAGCTCTCGAGACGCTAAATTTAATACGACTGCTTCCCTACATACAATGATCTTTTACATCTGTCGTGTAGGCAAAGCCCAAAGACACTAAGTATGGTATAGATATTCCACCTGATTACTATAAGGACTGGAAAGAGCACTTCATGGTCCTTTCTAGAGATGCTCGAGTACATGAATATATCTCCGATATCGGTAGCACCTTACCTTTACAGTGGAAAAGCTTATGAAGTTCAAGAAAGCCATTTGAGGATTTTTCGTTGATATCTTCCTGCTCGATATTCCTATACTCCAAATCCACTGCGACACCCTCAAACAAGCAATATTCGAACCCACATCCTTGACATTATATGGTTTCTGATTGTGCGTATTTCCTTCTCATTCTAGCTTCGTCCATTCTTTCCACGTGGAATCTTTCACTAGAATCAAAACCATGTTTCCCAATTCTTTTTTTTTTTTTTCAACTTCCTAACATTCACACAAAAAGCGACCTCTTCATTTCAGCACAACTTTGCTAAACACTCCCTTCTACCAGATTATTCTGCTTCAGAAGCCAAACACAAGACCAAGAATCCACCAAATACCAAGCTCCCAATTCTTCAAATCGAACAACAAATCGCCCATAAGCCAATGATCACCCAGCGCAGCCCATCCATTCATCAAGTACTTGTTTCCTTCGTCAATAATATGATCAGATCTTTTTTGTTGCGATAAACTTCGAATGGCAAACGATATGTCAAGGAAGGTATGACCGAGACCTTGGAGATATACATACATGAGGAAAGCACACATATGGAATATGATCTTGCAATACAGAGTGACGTTACTCGTAATTTCTTTGTATTATTCGATACCTTTGCTCGAGTTCAATAATGCAGAGACAAAGCTACATGAATCCTTTTTAGTCCTTAGCGGCTCTTGACGGTGCTTTAGATGAATATCGCGTCGCTGTTTCATTTACGACGATGTGGGAGATCAATCAATGCGGGATATGTGAGGGTCAGGATTTATGGAGATCCTGCTATTTTCGTAGGTAATTCTTACAAGCTATAATCCAGTTTTCCTAGGAGTTAATATCGTTTGTACCATGGTTAATGTTTTGTTACTTAGAAACTCCATTTCAAGAGACCATGGTCGATATACAGCTGGAACAGTTGCTAACGCGATGACTTCGTCTAGTACATTATGTGCGGGAACTTTAATAGTTCTGTAGGGCAGCCATTTCTCATTATACGGTCACCAGCTTAGATTGCTCAGATGTGCGAGAAGCTCATGTGCTAATGTACTTTCAATATGCTATTAAGCTGCTAATTTGTAGCCAAATTTTACAGGAAAGAACCGTTTGAAGGCATCCAGATTTGCATTGGTGTAATTACATTGTCTTGCACCCACTTCGCCATCCTTCTCAGCCCACAATCAACTAGGCAAAACATAAAGAGACAAGTATGTTCTATCATTTCTAACCCACCACAAGTAACCAGCGAACTGAAACGTAACCGACATGGTAACCATCGTTAGTGTAAGTGAAAAGCATTAGATGGTGGAAGGGAGTCTCGCTGACCAGATTCTCTTCAAAACAAAAGATGTCCCAGGCCCGACCCAACCACCCAACCACGGGGCCCCGGAGAGCTAGATGTTTAGTGCTGCGAAGTTAGTACTCCAGACCCGCCCAACCTGCCCACAAAAGCAAAGACAGTCGCTGAAGTAGATGAACTTCAAGACAACCCTCTCTGGTTAGCATAAGATGGAGATAGGAAAAGACGAGGAGGCTATTGTACTCACGATATCTTGATTGGAACAAGGATGTCCCAGGCCCGACCCAACCACCCAACCACCGGGACCCGGGAAAGCTAGATGGTTAATGCTGCGAGGTTAGTACTCCAAGCCCGCCCAACCTACCCAGCCACCGGGACCCGGGAAAGCTAAAGATTAGTCGAGGGTGTGGAGAGAGCGAGGAAAGGGGGTCTAACAAGCGTGGTCAGTAAGAATAGATGTGGGGAAGAGGAGTATTACTTACAACTTGTACATCGCAGAATCCCAACGGCCAGCGGCTCCGGAGCGGATTCGTACAATGCAAACCTACACGATGCAGAGATGAGGGCGATGCAGGTGTAGTGGAGCATAGAGAGCGAGGAAAAGGGGGGTGGCTAATAAACACAGTCAGCAAGACCAGTCGGAGAAGGAAGAGGAGTGTCACCTACAGCTTCTTGCGCCAGCAGAGGAATTCCAACAGTCTGCAGCCTGGAGAAATCCATGCCAACGGAAGCCCTCTATGGTGCAGAGGAGGGGAGAGGAAATGATCGTGTTGAGGAGTGTAATGAGCGAGGAAAGGGCCTAGCAGACACAGTCAGTCAGTGAGAACAACGCTGAGAAGGGAGGGGTTTGACTTACAGATCGTAGGCGCAGAATCCGAACGGCCTGAGGTCCTGGAGCGAATTCATACGACATAAAATCTGGAGGGGGCAGAGAAGGGAAGGAGAAGTAGGAACAGCCATGCAGTAACGTCCAGGTCCTACACAAAGTCGGGCCCGACACCCAGCCGGATGGTTGATCATCGCACTTCCAGTTCAGCGCACTGAGTAAAGTGGACGGATGTGTCGTTGATCGGCCATCCAGTCAGTTGTAATGATCTGGTCGACGCTGTTTAGGCTGTGAGAGGAGAAAGGGAGAAGATGGGGAGTGGGGGGGTGTTAAGGCTGAGATGGGGAGGTTCGAAGAAGGAAGGTAAAAGAGATTGGGAGAGAAGAAAAGAAGAAACAGAAGAGGGGGTGGTAGGTAACAGGCAGCCTTCATTCACAGTGGTGACGGCCTGTTGACGCGATGCGTCGTGGAAGAGCTTGAGGGAAAGAGTGAATAGTATCCCGGTTGCCCTTTCTGGAAAATTCCTTTCAGGTCATTATGCAGGGACGGCACATCCCAGAAAACGAAACTGCCGAGTAACACAAGGGCAGGTCACAAGGAGAGCGAGTGAAAGAAGTTTTAAGTAAAAAGGTATATTTTCCATTGCTAATGCACGGTATCTATAGAGAAGACTCGCATCAAGACGGACTAAGGAACAAAAAAGCATAATCAAGAGAGCAGGCATAGAGTATGAAGAAGCAGTTTGAAACACTTTTTTTTCTGTTTTCCTATCAGAGATTCCCCTTGTCCAGCCATAAGAAAATGAAGAAGACAGTAGTCGAATAGCAAATGGTATAAACCTCGTCATACGTACGGAGCAGATACATGCCGTCGACGTCTACGATCATCATCACTGTAGAGTCCTAAGCGAGAGCGGGGCCCCAGCCAGTATCCTTTCCTTCATGATAACCCGTCGTTATTGGCCATGATCATAGATTCTTCCATCGTCTCGTAACAAGAGAAGCGGCATTCATGTGGGATAGATCGTAAATGAGAAGCGCCCCGATGTCGTAAACGCTTCAAACAGTGTACTTGGCCTTCGCCCTCGTGCTACCACTGTGTGCACTGTCTGTGTGTCCAGAGAACTCCACAACGTCTGCCTCGTTCAGACGCAGGACTTCCTTAAACCGGCGGCCGATGGATTCGAGGACATCCTTGCCCTGGGCAGGTGTGCGGGCATTCTTGTCTCCCGGAATACTCTTGCCCACAGTCCGTGTCCACAAACCGACACGGTAGAAACCCTTACGCACATTCACAACGACTCCCATAACCTCACTATCTCCATCGTTCTCGAGAGTCTCACCAATGGCTGCCAGTTGGGCGTGCAGCCACAGGTCGTCGATCGGTACGGAACGCTTGTCTTTGAACGAATACGACCACTTGCCGCCGTGCTTGTTCTGAGGATCTTCCCACTCAGGCCGGATACCCTTCTTGAAAAGGTGGTAGTCTGCTTTGAGGCCCAACTCAGAGGTCGGTGTGATGTTGTTCTGATGATAGTAACATGGGTCAGCCATCGCCGAGTTGAAAGATGACAGAAATGGAGCATACGTAAATTCCCCAGAATTCCTCAACCGAGTTGAATGTGACAACTTCCTTCAAAAGGTCGTTCCAGTTATCGCCCTGTGAGTTGGAAAAAACTGTTAGTGTTGGTGGTCTTCAGGCCACTGGCGGGTCAGACTGCGTACCTTGCCGCTAGGAGGCTTGGTGAACCACAGGGTCCACTCGTGCATAAGAGGGTGCTTCACGTTGAAGTTCTCGGGATCATGGAACACTGTGATGTTGTCGCCATTTGTCTTCTCGGTCTCCTCTTTCTGCTCGGGGGCGGCAACGCCGGGCGCGGTGTTCTCGTCGTTCACCGGTACGGGACCGTTTTCAGCGACAGCGGCCATGGTGGATGTGAAATAATCGATATTAGAGAGAATATAAAGCCAAGCGAAAATTATATGAGTGACGTTGCGGTGATTAGAATGCCGAGAACGTTGTCGGAGGGGTGAGGAAAAAGTCTCGGTGGGTGAAGGCAAATTTTGTGTTTAAGGTGGGAAAAGCCGACAGGAAAGAGCAACCCGGATAAACTGGGGCAGTATCGAAGCGACTCGTGCGCGGCGGTCCTATAACTTTAATCGTCTGCTCCGGGCAGAACCACGGTGTCTATCGTCTTTTAAAAGGGACGTAGGTGAACCTGTGGAAGGGACGATATGAAGTTTTGAAGCGTTTGGAGATGCGGCAGCTTGACGACAGTGCAACTTTACCCGTTTGGGCCACGGTACCTTTCTAGGCCTCTCATAGGCTGATGCGGCTCTCCCCCAAACCCCAGCCCTAATAATTGATCTGATCAATAAGTCAATGCGGACTGAAGACAAACCGATCCATTGAATCTGACAGGAACAAGAAAAGTAGTTTCTAATTATAAATCTATGTACCCGCAAAGAATAGCAACAATGACTGTCACTAATCCGCTTTAATCCAGCACGTCTACTTTTTACCCGAAATGTTCTGGATGTTGCGCCCAAATTTTGAAACAAAGAAAAACAAGTCCTAAGAGATACATAGAAATGAAGAAAGACCTCTATAACCCCAGAACAATTCCAAGAAAGTCTTCGGTGTATCAGCTATACAATCAAGGGGTATCTCTAAACGTAAGGTCTCCAAACAATTGGAAAGAAAGGGATTTGCTTATTGATCACCGCTATTGATCATGCTCAGGAGGCAATTCCAACCTAAAAGTAATAGTGTTAGTGCTATACAAAACCTTTCCCTGAAAATAAGTGACACATACCCAAGCTGACCAGGTTTACAACAAGCACACGGTATTCCAATGGCACGATAGCAAAGTTGACGCCCTGAACAAGAGGCCAGATGGTCAAATTGGCTTTGTAGCTGGGGAGGAAGCTGTTACGCCACTTCTCAATAGGGTCCGAGCCTTCCATGATGGCCATGGAGGTCAAGAAGCAGGTGAGGTGGGTAGGAGTGAATAAGCACTGGTCTGCCGCAACCCGGGCAACGATGGTGGCCTTGCTGTTCTTCAGGACCACGTTGCGTTGGAGAAAGCCGTACCAGGTCGTAGCAGCGGGACCAAAGATAGCTATTACGATCAGTAAAACAGACCACTTACCAAGAAGTGGTAAATGACTTACCTCCTCCGTACAGAGCCATGCGACCGGTTCTGGCAAAGTCATGCTTCTCAAAACCCTTGCGATCAACTACCTGTTGAGCGAGCACATCACCGCTACCAAAGAGCACCTGTCGCAAGTCAGAAACAAGACGGATCATGAAAATCGGAAACACAATCATACTGCGCTGGTCACACTGGCTGTGAGAATGGGCTGCTTAGCCAACTTTGCCTGATACCTGGGTTGAGAGATAAAGTTTTAGCGTCAGGAACCGGACGAGATGTGGTCGGGGAGATATACCAACGAAGCATGCTGCCAACGAGGGGGACTAAAAAGTCAATTGGACTTGATAAAGCTCAATTGAGTGCGGCGATGGCTCTCACAGGGAGAAAAATGTTGACAACGGAATGGGGGATGGGGGATTGAGGGAAAGTCTGGACAGGACAACAAAGAATTAATAGCTTGATAATAAACACATGACCCCCCCCCAGACCGCCGATAAGAATAGCAGGATCGCGACAATCAGCGCCACCGCCCGCAGACTATTGGAGTAAAAATCTCCCAATGGGGGAAGTTGAAGTCACATGATGCAGATGTCAGCGGGTTACCCAAACGGGTTCACCGCCTAGGGTATAGGGTTTCCGTGGGCTCGGTTAGCGCACGAAATTTCCGTGAGCCAAACAGTTGTGTGTGGATAGTGAGAGACGAAAGTCAACCTCGACGTCGACAACCCCTCAACGACACCCTCCCGTCCGTTACCTCTCCCCGTACGGTTCATTTTCAATCGCCATACATATCCAACATGGCTGACGCTGCTCCTCGTGGACGTGGAGGATTCGGTTCCCGCGGTGACCGTGGTGGTGACCGTGGCCGTGGCCGTGGTCGTCGTGGTCGTCGCGGTGGCAAGCAGGAGGAGAAGGAATGGCAGCCCGTCACCAAGCTCGGTCGTCTCGTCAAGGCCGGCAAGATCACCAGCATGGAGCAGATCTACCTCCACTCTCTGCCCATCAAGGAGTACCAGATTGTGGACTTCTTCCTCCCCAAGCTCAAGGATGAGGTCATGAAGGTACGGAACGAACTTTTTATCCGAAGGAAGATTGGGCCAGTGGAATTCGTGTGGAATCGCAGTTTGTTTTTTTACGGTGGAGGAAGCGCAATTGGAATATGATACACGATGGATGCGATTTGGACGGATATTAGGGAAATTGCAAGTAGCAGCCGCTGACGGTTCATTTTTTTTTCCTTTACAGATCAAGCCCGTCCAGAAGCAGACCCGTGCCGGTCAGCGTACCCGTTTCAAGGCCGTCGTCATCATCGGTGACTCTGAGGGCCACATCGGTCTCGGTATCAAGACCTCCAAGGAAGTCGCTACCGCCATCCGTGCCGCTATCACCATTGCCAAGCTTGCCGTCCTCCCCGTCCGTCGCGGTTACTGGGGTAGCAACCTTGGTGAGCCTCACTCTCTGCCCGTTAAGCAGAGTGCCAAGTGTGGTTCCGTCTCCGTCAGAGTATGTCACGAAATGCGCGACTTCCGGAAATGAAGGTAGCATGCTAACCTGCGATAGCTTATCCCCGCTCCCCGTGGTACCGGCCTTGTTGCCTCCCCCGCCGTTAAGCGTCTGCTCCAGCTTGCCGGTGTCCAGGATGCCTACACCTCCTCTTCCGGTTCCACCAAGACCCTCGAGAACACCCTCAAGGCCACCTTCCTTGCCGTCGTCAACACCTACGGCTTCCTTACTCCTAACCTCTGGAAGGAGACTAAGCTCATCCGCAGCCCTCTTGAGGAGTTCGGTGATGTCCTGCGCCAGGGCAAGAAGTACTAGATTATTAGTGCCGTGACGGGGAAATAAATTTGCATGATCGTTTTTTTTCTTGAACCATTTTCCTACGGGATTTCTACTTTTTTTTGGCTGTAGGATCGGAAAAGCTGGAATGAACTTTTTATCTCACGCTCTACTACGCTACTCACGGCCATGGATGTAATTACGGGAGGGACGACTTGAAAACGAAATAGCGTGAAGTGAATGAAAGCTTCCTTTTCGCCAGTCATGATTTCCTGCGTAAATGGGCAGGAAGAAGTTCATTTCGTAGATGCTTTACCCCGCAAATAGATAACTGAGATGCGGCACTCGAATAATCCTTATCCAGGGACTGATAAGTAAACTTTGATGAACCATGTCATTTATCAAATTTCTACTCAGTGGAGTCATAGCTCTGGTCTAGATCAATGGTCAATGTTGATTTGTGGTCAAGTGGGAACATTGAACTTCAATGGCATGGGATATCATCTCTCTTATAAAATGTTGATGTAGGCATAAATGCTTGCCTAGATCAAGCAGAATACGTAGGAATATGTTAAATTGGTTGGGTCAGTGATGACATGTGTTATGAACTGGTGTGGCGTAACTTATATGAAGGGTAACCGCAGTAGATTTATATATATATCCACATTATCCACATATCCGTGCCAGTGCATAAAGAAAGACAACGAAAACACGGGAAGCAAACAAGAAAATGAGTTAGTCTATTATTTTCTTTTGTTTACTCACTCTGTTTGTTTTAGGATAATACACCGTCTAACAAATATCCATATTCAAAACCTTCGCGTCCTTAACAAGATATAACACCAAGCACGTCTAACCCGGCAACTATCCGCGATACTACAAGACCGCCGCACCTTAAGCCAACTATGGCTTGATAAAATAACCAAAGTACAAGAAATTTCACTGAGCGGAGGACAATGGCTTTAGATATCCTGCAGAAAGCTTCGTTTGATCTACTACTATTATGATGTGACTGGTGATGCCGACAGCACGTGGCGCAATAATGACTGCGATGACCCTGACCACCACTACTACTAGTAGGTACGGAGTATGTACGGAGTACATAACTTGAAATACTACGTACCAGACTCTCTAGTAGTCACGAGCTTAGGCAAGCATTCGAAGAATTCCCTGGAGTCTGTTCGGCTTCGCTGCTACTGAAGCGCCTCCAAGTATCATGAAATGGGATGCGATTGTTGAAACCTATAAGACAACGCGTATTGTAGTTTAGATTTATATTTCTGCCCAGCTCTTGAAAAAAAAAATTGTGTTGGTTGGTATTGTATTGTTTAGCCCAGACCCGAAACAGGAATGTCGCCGACATTCGACAGCATTGCCAAACTTCAACCTCACCACTTACTACTATATGATACTAGCGCTTATGATGGCAGAATAGTTAAGGGCAAGTCTAGCGCGGTTAGAGATTTCCTCACCCACGACATAATCTTATGGTCTCTCTTGTCTGTTCGGTACTGATGTTGCACTTTATAGTGTCCAATTTTGTTAACTCTATCTGAGAGACCCCTTTCAGATTGACTATTACAAAGTAGTCAGAGCGAGTCATCTCATATATTCAAGTCGGACACAAACGAAAATTCTGATCGTGTCTGTTTTTTTCCTAGCAACGACTGGAGCTGCCCGTGCGCTCTCTGATTGGCGCACTGGCGAGCTACCACCGTGGGTTCAATTTATCAGATCATCAGATAAGGATTGATTTTGTCCCCATGGCCCACCTGTATGGATCCCATTCATTTAGCCCAACCAGCCAAAATTGTCCCCAGTCCCCAAATTTTCCGTTTATACGCTTCTAATGCAAGCTAGTAGGGCCGCGAGGGAATGCGGCACTTCAGAACCTGCCAATTACAGCCTTGCTTGGCAGACCCTATGGCAGGAATCTTGCTGCACGATACTATTGCCCCTTATGAGTGGTGTATCCTTAGCAATGCTAAGGGCTAGACCGAGAACTAGATAGGGAATTTGCTGCTTAGCGCTCTATTCAAACTATGGTGCACGGAAATTCCCGACTTGATGGTGGCCTTCTATATGGGCTTCGGGCGGCATTTCTCTCGGGGGAATTTGCTATTTAGTAGTAGATCATTCCCCCTTTGACGGCTGAATTCTTGCGCAGAGTTTTTATTTCATTCCTTTTGCTCCGCCTGACAGCTTCTTTTCTGTCAAATCTTAGGGAGAAGTCTACCATGAAGTTCAGACTACCCATTAAACCGGATGAGATACCGGTGGACGAGAAGCGGCACCCTGATGATGATGAAGCCAACGTTGCTCCACAGTCTGCATCCAAGGAAACGGCTACCTCCACCGTTGACCAAGCGGATGATGACAAGAGTGACCTAGTCAATCCGGAATTCCAGCATGGTGTACAGAGCGCACAGGCCATGACTCAAGTCTGGTCCAAACAGCATTTGATTCTGGCCTACGTGATGTAAGTGTCACCGAGCTGCATTGGGTGATTCGCCGACACTCGAAGCTGACGATGGCATTGTCATTAGGATCTGGGTTATCTACTTTATTAAGAACTTCGCGTTCGGTATCATCGGCACATTGACTCCATATGTTACCAGCTCCTTCAAGGAACACTCGTTAACTGGCACTACCACCATTCTTTCTACTCTTATTGGCGGCCTATTCAAACTTCCTTATGCTAAGCTGATTGATATTTGGGGTCGTCCTCAGGGTTTTGCCTTGATGATCGCTTGCATGACCGTTGGACTCATCATGATGGCTGGGTGTAATAATGTTCAGACGTATTGTGCGGCTCAAGTGTTCTACTCGGTCGGATCCGCTGGTGTGGATTTCACCTTGACTATCTTCATTGCCGATACGTCGGCGTTGAAAAACCGGGCGTTCTGGCTCGGCTTCGTCGGTTCTCCGTACATTGCCACGGTTTGGGCATACGGCCCGGCGACGGAAGATATCTTAAAATCCATGGGATGGCGATGGGGTTTCGGCATCTGGGCTATTGTAACGCCCGTGATGTTGACGCCTCTATTCTTCCTGTTTTACTATAATCAGCGCAAAGCGCAGAAGGCTGGTCTGGTTCCTGAACGTCACAGCCAGCGCACTGTAATGCAATCGATCGCTTACTACGGCAAGGAGTTCGATGTTATCGGTCTGCTCCTCCTTACTACTGGACTTGCCTTGTTCCTGTTGGCTTTCAATCTGTACTCCAAGCAGCCAGACGAGTGGAGATCTCCGCTGATCATCTGCTTCATTGTCATCGGCGGCCTCCTACTCATCGCCTTTCCCGTCTACGAGAGATACATCGCTCCTGTCACGTTCATCCCCTGGTCGCTGTTGCTCAACCGAACCGTCTTTTTCACCTACACCATGGCCGCCAGTATATACCTGGCCTGGTATCTCTGGGACACGTACTTCTTCTCGATGCTAGTTGTTGTCTTCAACCAAAGCGTCAGCCAAGCGACCTATATCACCAATATCTACAGCGTAGGCTCCTGCTTCTGGGCCGTACTCATGGGCATCCTGATCCGCTATAATGGCCGCCTCAAATGGCAAGCGCTCTACTTCGGGGTTCCTATCACCATCCTCGGCGTCGGATTGATGATCAAATTCCGGGAACCGGGCGTCAACATCGGGTATATCGTCATGTGCCAGATCTTCATCGCGTTTGGCGGTGGCACCTTGGTGATCTGCGAGCAGATGACGGTCATGGCCGTGTCATCGCAGCAACACATTCCCGCCGTGCTGGCGATGGAAAGCATGTTCATTAATATCGGCAGTGCGGTGGGCACTACCATCGCCACTGCGCTGTGGACGGGTATCTTTCCCCATAAACTGGCCGAGTATCTTCCCGCGGACGCGCAGTCTAATCTGGTGAATATTTATGGTGACATGACGGTTCAGGCGTCGTATCCTGTTGGTAGTGCAGCGCGTGATGCGATTAACCGGTCATATTCGGAGACACAGCGGTTGATGTTGATTGCGGCGACGTGCCTGTATACGGTGACGCTGGCATCGGTGATGATGTGGAAGGATGTCAATGTGAAGAAGATCCAGCAGGTGAAGGGGCGGATTCTATAGGTTGGATATGTGGATTGGTAACAGGACAGAGAATATAATGTCCGTTGTAGACTTGGAATTGCTGATATCCCCGTATAGAATAGTAATGTTTGAAAAAAGGGATATAGGATTGAGGTTTTGACCGACGTTTGATCAATCAAATTGGCATCCAGAGAAAGAGAGGTGCCGATCCTATTTCTTCTGCATTCCGCATTCCTATGTAGGCGTAAAAACCAAGTTTACCCCAACCGGCAACCTGGATCAGACCACAATCCGCTATAAATAACCTCGCTGCATAGAACCCCCTCACCGAGTGGCTCTGTATCTTCCAAGGCATGGGAACATGATCCAGATCGACCGACATGCTGACCGTGCAAAAAGTAACGTACTATTAGAAAGAATCAAGGACGGTTGCAGTCGTGGCAAACAAATCAAACGGTTGCATCCTTTGTCCGACGTTGCTTTTCGAGTCGGCGATTGGCTGCTTTGGAGGCGGCAGGTCGATGACGACAGAATCGAGGTCAGCATGACGAACGTCTCTCGTAAGTGTTTTTTTCTTTCATTCTTATATTTAGTCCTCTTTATAACCCTTTAGTCCAGCTCTCGTTCCTATTGACACTTACCTCTTTGACCCCGTCAAGATCTTGATTTTAGTCCCAACATTGCGGGTGCTGTCACTTTAACTAAGCTTATCGGATACTAAACCTTGAATATACTTCAAGATGATCGATCCACCCGCCGAGATGATCGACTTCTTCGATACCTTCAAGACAAAGCCGCTGCCCGCGCCCACGACTACCCCGACGTCGGTTGCCCCTGTGCCCACCGTCCTCCCTGGCCGTGATGCTATTTTCCAGGAATTGTCCAAGGCCAGCCAACGGACGTTATGGTACATAATCCCTCCTTCTTTTCTACTCGTCTAGAAGCTAATCTTACAATCATAGGGTGGTCGTCGTGCTCATGGCCATATCCGCTATCGTCTTCTACATCCTCGCCTCCCGAGCACCCCTGGTAAGCCCAGCCAAGTACATGCACTTAATATCAAACTAAGAAGTACAGACCAAGCGAGTCATCCACAACCTAATTGCCATCTCCACAACAGTCTCCTTCATCATTTACCTCGCCCTTGCAACCGGCGAAGGCATAACCTACAAACACGACATCTTGACAATCCACAACAAGCACGTCCCCAACACTCATCACGATGTCTATCGTCAGGTCCTCTGGCTGCGGTACCTCAACTGGTTCCTGACAAACCCCCTGGCCCTCATCAACCTTGCCCTCCTGTCCGGTCTCCCCGGCGCCCATCTCCTCGTCGCCATCGTCGCCGACTGGGTGATGCTTGGCACCGGCCTCTTGGGCACCTATGCCGGCCACACCCCCCGCAGATGGGTTTGGTTCACCATCAGCGCCATCGGCTACCTCACGACGGTGTATCATATTGGTGTGAACGGGGGCCGCTCGGCGGTGAACAAGGACGCCCAAACGAAGAGGTTCTTCGGTACTGTTTCGGGTGTGTCGCTCGTGATCAAGGCTTTGTTCCCTATGTATGTTTTCTCTCTCATTTACCTTCCTTCCTTCTGCGGGGATCTAGAAGAATGCTGATTATCTATATAGCGCCATCGCAGCCGGCGCTCTAGCCCTCAAAATCAACGTCGATGCCGAGACCATCATTTTCGCTATCCATGATATCTTCCTACAGGGTATTATCGGCTACTGGCTGATTTTCGCACATGATGCGGCACCCGGAATGTAAGTCCACTGAATACTACTCTAATTCTTACCCAAGCTAACGAAACAGTACCCTCTCGGTTGACGGCTTCTGGTCCCATGGACACGGCAACGAGGGTGCCATTCGCATCACAGAAGAAGAGGGCGCGTAAGGCAATAACATAATGCCTCCTGGTACAAGGACAATCAGATTCGAGCTTGAACTGGGGGAGATTGTGTTTCGTGAGAATGGTTGGAGGACGGAGGCGATATGACGTCATACTGATGTTACACTCCATGAGAATGAACGAATGATGGAAAAGTGGATTAGTTGACGACGCTCGTTACGATGCTGTTATTTCGGGTCATTTATTGTACAGAATCTGGGTCTGGTTCTGTTTCTACTGAGTTGGCGCAGTTGATCTTCGTGTGAATGTGGTGGGATAGGTTATAATAATATTAATAAATGAACGGGTATTCTGATATTCATTTAGCCTAGAAGCTTTTCAGATCAAAAGATCTAATATCCACATTAGATTAAGTACAAGAGTAGAACAGTTTTAACTGTCCCACAAGTTCCATACCCCAGATCCACAACCCTACCTTTCCACCGACATACCCACCCCCTTCACTATCCCCATCAGAATAGGACACAAAATAAAACCAAGAGATCCTCAAAGTCAAAGAACCCTAACCATCCGAATCTCCCCCCTCTCAGCAGCCCTCCCAATGACCACCTTCCCAACCTCCCCTCCACTCCCCCCCGGCCAAACAACAGTAACTCCCCCCATATCGTCTCCCAACCAAAACCCAGCATCCACACACCCATCACCAAACCGAACACACTTCAACCGCCCGCAATCAAACCACTGCAGAAACGGATCTGCATCGACCACGAACCCACTCAACACTAGCGTGCGGATCGATAGCCGGGTGCGCGTTCTTCCCATACCCATACCTGCTACTTTGGCTTTTTCGATGACTATTTTGTCGAGGTATTCCCCTAGTCCGAGGGTTGGGTGGAGGGTGCCTGTTCCTGTTCCACTTGGGTTTTCTGTTAGGACTTGGGTCTTAGGATTGTAGGTTTGTAGATCATTCCAATGTCCGTCGTCTTGGGGTAGGGGTATATATGGGATATATGCAATGCAGAATGGAGGGGGGGGGGGGGGGGGGGGGGGAAAGGGAAATAAAGAGACAAAAGAACATACTAATAAACCGGCTCCCCCAGTCTCTCCTTGCTAAGTGTCCATCCCCCACAAATACAGGGCCATTTTTTCACATATTTCCGTCGTAGACTTGGGGCGAGGGCCATGCCGAGCTCCAGTTCTTCCAGGTGCGGGTTTAGCCAAGCTGCTTGCCAGATGTATTTCTGGTAGGAAGTCATCATGCCGGTTAATTTTAGGGTGCGCAGATGGCGGAAGTGCAGGATGGGGGTTAGGGATGTTAGAGGGAAGATTTCTCGTTCTTGCTCATGTTCATCATCATCGGTATCTTTTTCTTTGGGTACTTGGCCCGGTTCTTGGAGTTGGGGTTGAGGTTGGAGTCGGAGTTGTTGTTGTTCTGTATTGATTTGGGTTGCTTTTGTGGGATGTTGACCAGAGTCTGGGTTTGAGAAATCAATGGGCCAGAACAAGTCCAGTCCTAGACTCTTCCTATCCCTCGCGAGAAGATCCCAGGTGTCACCGCCACGGAACTCGAGGATGGGATTTGCGGGTGTGGCCTGGTCGGTTGGGAGTAGGTCGGGTCGTTTTCGGGTGTTGCTTAGCCCGCGGAGGAGAGTTAGTGGGAGATGGAGGATAGACCGGGACCGCGATCTCGAGCGTGATCTTGCTTGGGTTGGTTCCTGTGACGATGTGGTTTGGTCTGAGGTGTCGGAGCGGATGGTTGAGCGTGCGCGTCGTCGACTTAGATGAATGCTGTGGAAGGGGTTGAGGACGAGGGCGTCGCTCATGCTGAAGCGACGGCGGTGGTGCACTTCCGCGTCGTTTGGGTCGGGCATGGGGTTGTCTGGAGCTGTTTGTGGTTGTCTCTGTGTCTGTAGTTGGGTGTTTGGTTGCTCTTGGCCGAGAGTGAAGGGGAAGCGTTTGTGGAGAGGTCTCTTTCCTTCTGAGAGAGGTTAGTATATCGGTCTTTCTGGGGATGCAGAAAAGGCATGAGAGTACCGGCTTCAATAGAGTCGTGGATGGGTTTGTTGTAGGCTTCTGCGTCGCGCCAGAAGGCGTAGCCTAGGAGCGTTGCGTGCCAGTGGGAGGGGTGGGTGTCCATTCTTTTGTGTTAGGTTGTTTGTAGAAGTATGGGAAAAAGTGAGACCACTGTCTTGGGGAAGAAGAGGTAGGAGAAGGGTTGTATGTGGAAGTGTTGGGGAGAGGAGGATATCTTGTTGGTGCAAGAATCAGGTTGGAGAAGACTTACTGCGGAGGACTGGCATTTGGATCGAAGAGAGTGAGGGACATACTGTGCAGTTCAAACACAGAGACGAGAGCCATGATATTCTGTCTCGGTGTTGCTGCTCCTCTTCAAATTGGACTCCCATTGCCCAGGGATTCAACCACATCTTGTCAAACTCGTCACTTATGCTCTGGTATTAGTATCTAGCAGCTATATCGGGATATTCTCCCTAGATTCTCAGAACGGAGGCTACGTAGTAGGGTTGGGTGTCTCTCCACATATGATCAGCATCATGCTCATTGTCAGGAGTCACTCAATAACTGCACGATTGAGTTCTTTCGCTACAAAGGACCTTGATAAAGGTCCTGGCTTCATTGTTCGTTTGTCCAAAGAGACGAATGCCCTAGATCCGGACAGAAGGTGTTAGGGCCTTTGTGTTTCAATATAGATGCGACCATCCTGTAGTAATTGAAACTGCGTTTTATACTTCACTTAGTGTCTTATGATTATAGTTAGTATAGGATATTTGTTACACTCAACATTATAGAAAAGGACTAATAAATGAATCGAAGTTGTATTTCTATGATATGCTAGATAGCCTTGGAGGGATTTCCTTTTCTTTTTCGTTTTTCTTTTTGCTTTCCTCCAGGGGTCAAGGCGAAATATTATTAAAGTTGTAATAGAAAAAAATGTTGAAGGGAATGGATTGAAACAATCCAGCAAAGACATAATCTAATAGATCTCACAGTGCAAGCAAAATTCTATAATAGTGTATCACACGAAGATAAGAAATATAGGGCAAAGTACGGTTGAGAGTATCCTCCTTGAGACAGGGTATCAACCAAGAATCAATAAGCAAGGCAAAAGCAAGAGCCTGCGAGGTATGTACTTGAAAAAGAAAAAGAAAATATGTGCTGTATATTGTAAAATGTTTTAGCTCACTTCTTCTTAGAGAATCGTTCCTTCAAGCCGCTGAGGTTCCACTTCTTAACACGGAACGTGTAGTAGAGCATAGTCGCCAGGAAGATATTGAACACGATATACACCCACATGAGGCCGAAGTTGCGCCAGCGCTCACTCCAGTAGATGTTGACGCTCGAAAGGAAATCGTCTGCTACGGAGACCGAGCAGTAGTTGCAGTCCGAAGTGGCGTTCGGGTTCGACAACTGTCCGCCGGCCATGCTCATGAATGAAGACATGTATTCGCTGCAGGTCTGACCAGATGGAGGATCGAAGATGGACATCTCTGATGGAGAGCACTTGACTGCGCGATCGTGGAGCTGGGTGGAGGCCATGGCTGAGACCCAGTAGGTGAAGGGGGAAACACGGTACATGAAGATCCAGAATCCCGGCAGCGCGGTTGGGGTTTGCATGACACCGCAGAATGTGAGGGACATGGCGAATAGGAGAACAACCACAGCACTAGCTGTTTCGGTGTCGGGCATAGCGGCAATGGCCATGTGAGCGAAAGTGCTGGCATAGATGAAGAACTGAATACATAACAGGAGGACAAGGCCCTGTCTTTCGGAGTCCTGGACTCCGACCACTGCGTAATAGTAACAGGCGTATGTTAAGATGCCCATCATGATTTGGTACGGAACCTCGACGATAATGTTGGCGATCAAGAAGGCTTTCCATGAGTATGTTTTGCTGGGTCTTTCGCGGACTTCATACAAAGATCGTTGGGTCACAAATAATGGCATGACCTATAAGGGTTAGATTCAGCTTATACAAACACGGAAGCTCTTGCCACTTGACATACCTGTTGAACCAGAGAAGAGAAAATGGTGCACAGCATGAACAACGAGTAGATGATGGTCTGCATTCCCTGGAGGGAAGACTTCGCTTGGAAGAACGAGAAACCAATGAAGAGACCGGAAACGATTCCCAGCACCCATTTCGATGCGATGTATTCTGGCATACGCCAATACTGCTGGAACACACGATAGGTAACCTGGTATAACTGGAACCAGAATGGCATGGCGAATTCTGACTTGCTCCAAGCTTCGTTGTCGTCACTGGCCTGTGTCTTGGATTGCTGTTCTCTGTGGATCCGATCGATCTCGGTCTGTACGTTTTGACACTCGCTGCTTTGTTTCCAGACGTCAAACCAGTTCTCACCCTGGGAGTTCTTGCCATTGTTCACAATCTCCAGCATCCACTCAGCCGGGTTTTCGTCATCAGCACATTTGCGGGCCCCATTGGATTCGAAGTAGTTAAGGAGGGTATTAGAGTTCTGTCCAATTGGACCAAAGTAGACTGTCTTTCCACCACGTGCAAGGAATAGGAGCTGATCGAACTGCTGGAAGAGAATTGCACTAGGCTGATGAATGGTACAGAGAACCGCTTGTCCGCTGTCGGCAAGCCTCCGGAGAAACGCGCAAATAGCCCAGGAACTCTGAGAATCAAGACCGCTATAACCAGGTCAGTAAAATCGCTAATGTTTGCAGGTGAAGGAGTATTTACCTAGTGGGTTCGTCCAAGAAGAGCAATAGCTTAGGCTTTGCAGCCAGTTCCACACCGATGGTCAACAATTTGCGTTGCTCAACGTTCAAACCTTGGCCGGGTACACCGACAACTGCTTCGGCGAAATCTTCCATCTTCAACATGCGGATCACGTCCTCCACATAGTCATACTTTTCTTGAATAGAGACATTAGGGGGTTGACGAAGGAGTGCGCTAAATCGGAGCGACTCGCGGACCGTAGCAGTTTCAAGATGTAGATCCTGCTGCTGAACATAGCCGGTGCTTCGCTGGAAGCTTTGGTCGAGGCCTCGGCCATTCACAAACATGTCACCTGTAATAACACCCATAGAAGTTCGATGTGCCAATACATCCAGCAAAGTGGTTTTACCTGCACCACTGACACCCATAAGAGCAGTAAGCGTGCCTGGTTTGACCCATCCAGAAACATGATCCAATAGCCGTCGGGGTTCACCTTTGATCTCGATATCGTAACAAACGTCTCTCCAAGTAAAAATATCCTTCTGTGGCGGTATGATAGACAGATCCCCTTCACCTGACTCCGTGGTTGGCTTCATTGCACTGAGCTCCACTGCACTCTCAGCGTCAGGTTTCTTTGAGTCGGTGCGCAAATATGCCGGCTCATGTCCACGACGGAAGACCAAAACTTCGGCAGTGCTGCTGGTAGACGAATTTAACTCAGTGGCAATAAAGTAAATCACCATGAACCCGATAAGGAAGGCAATCAAGATGCCGAAGTTGCGCCACACGTGCCCGTAGCTATACTGGTAGTTCACCTGCATATAATCATCGCCGCTGATAGCACGCTGCCCAGCTTTGGCGCCAGGAGACGAACAGACAAACGAGTTACCACTCAGGCTAGGGTAGGCCGGGATAAATTGCGAGCATATAAAATCACGTCCGTGGAATTCGTTGGCAATTAGCATCTCGAATGCGTAATAAATAGGGTCTGATTCGAGGTTAGTGAGGCACACAGAATGTTTGGGACTCCATTCACTTACTGAGATAATGAATCCATTCGAACCAAGGATGCATGGAAGGAACAGGCAGCACAAATCCCGTGTAGACAACCAGAGCCAAGATCAATATACCTGCCAACCCCATTGCTTGCGAGACTGTTTGGGTAATAGCCGCCATCGTACGGAAGACTGCACTCATCACGAACATCACGATGAATGTCACCAGCAGATAGATGAAAAATTGACCCGCTTCTCTGCGAAGGCCCGCCATGAAGTAGAGGATAAGGTTGAACACGACTGCTATGACAAACTTGACCGGTATATCACTGACCACGCCAGCAATGGCTTCGGTGGCTGGGTGATAGAAGGCATATGAGTTATGTTTTTCCACTATTGGACGTTGCGAGTAAAGACTGTTGATTTCCGACATTGCAATAAGAGCGTTGAGCAAGACCGCGAAGAACAAGGTGGCGCCTTTGGCAGTGAAGCCTGCAGTTGCATCCGGGGTACCATAGAACACAGATCCGATAATCAGAGCCATGATAATTTGACTAATAATAGTCGACACAGTAGAAGAGATATCGTTCCACACACGTTGATATGCTCGCTTCGTATTGAGCTTGATCTGCATGGGCACACTAAGCAAGTATGGTGACTGTGGGCGGGTATGTTTGGCCTGAATCTCGCGCTTCTTCTGCTGAAAAGTTGCGATAGCGGTACCATCTTCTTCCAGTGGGTGTTGCTGCTCGTACTGGGAAATCTCGGCCATGAGCTTCTGGTATTCTGGGGATTTGCGCCAATATGCTTCAAAGTCTTCAGCAGTTCGTGGAACCTGGTTCTCCATGCCCGGACGTGCTTTACGTTCACTGGGATTGGTCACTGAAGTTAAGAAGTCACCCGTGGTCTGTCGCTGAGGGCATTCCCATCCTTGTCGTTCGAAGTAAGACTTGGCAGCCTTCCCAGGGCCATAGTAAATCTGACGTCCTTCATAAAGGACAACCACTTTGTCGAAAATGTCGTAGATGCTCTGACTAGCCTGGTAGATCGCTACTGCGTGTGCAGATCCGGTGAGGTCGGCAAATAGCCGTAGTGCCTCCACAAACTTCAACGCCGTTGCGGAATCCAAGCCTCGGGTGGAGTTATCCCATGCAGCTAAGGGGGAGTGGGCCAA